TTTAAAGTAAGGTGGAATGTAGCAAGTAGAGAAAGAAAATGTTTGAGTGAGTTGAGAAGTTGGGATGTAATGTTAAAAATAAACGACATTTTGTCCCAAGAGTTAGAGAAATTCTATAAAACAAATAGTGTAGCTAGAGAAAAAATAAATATCAAATGTTTAGGTCGCTTCAGTGCTGGATTCAGAGAGCGCGAAGTTACTGTATTTGAAATCTAATTTTTGATAATTGTTTTGAATTTAACAAATTTTTTATTAACCGATCTTTTAAATAAGATATAAACATTTATAAAAAATATTTATAAATTCATCGAACTCTATAAACATATAGTATAGATATATTAAATATTGACGGATATCAATATATTATCAATAGAATCTATCCTCCCGTATATAAATTATTCTTTTGTTTATAAAGACAACAGGGAGTGCCCCGAAAATGTCCCAATGAATTAAACCCCCAAAATTGTCTCATCACGAAGATGTCCCACTGTAAAAAGACCCACAAAATGTCCCCATGAATAGAAACCCTAAAATTTCCGATCTCAAAATGTCTAACTGAGCAAAAATACTCAATCCATCGAAAAGTAAATTAGATAACGGAGAACTCTTACCTCCACACTAAATTCTTAAGATTTTACGTCCTAGAAAAATCATAAGAACCTATAACATGGCTTTTTAAAGCCCAAAAATAAACAAAATAAAAAATTTTTTAAATTCAAAACAATTATCAAAAATTAGATTTCAAATACAGTAACTTCGCGCTCTCTGAATCCAGCACTGAAGCGACCTAAACATTTGATATTTATTTTTTCTCTAGCTACACTATTTGTTTGGCTCCGCTACAAAATATGGAATCGTTAAAATATGGAATGGTTAAAATCGCGAATAGGCTAAAAAGGGGTTAAAATACCGAATCGTTAAAATATGGAATCGTTAAAATATCGAATCGGGTAAAAAAGGGTTAAAATATGGAATCGTAAAAATATGGAATGGTAAAAATGTCGACACGGCCAAAATGGGTCAAAATGTCGAATTCTTTTAAAAACGGGTCAGATTTGTGCCATACGTTGATTGTTGATAATTTTATCAACATCAGTTTATTGATGATAAGTTGATTGATAAGTTTGGTAAGTCGTAGTCCGTCGTAATCTTTTCTGTCTGAGTTCACTGTACTTTACCGAGTAAAACCGGACCGGATAAATCAAGCATAATCGACCGGATCCGGTCCGGCATGATCGTACGGATCCGGAAAACATAACGCGATCCTGATATGGAAAAATTAGAGTGGTATGCATTAGTTTTTAGTTAAGACCTAAAGTTTGACCTTACCGTATACGGTACGGAATACCGAAAAATAACGGTCAGCTTTTAAATTTTATCGGTCGGCATTCCGTACCGTACAACCGACACGGAATACCGAAAAATACCGTCGGTATTACGGTAAAGCCCGGATTCAAGGTTTTGGCGCATCTTTAAAAAAATTCGACATTTTGACCTATTTTGGCCGTGTCGACATTTTATCAATTCGATATTTTAACGATTCCATATTTTAACCCTTTTTTAGCCGATTCGATATTTTTACCATTCCATATTTTAACGATTCCACATTTTAACCCCTTTTTAGCCTATTCGCGATTTTAACCCATTTTTACCCGATTCGAGATTTTAACCCTTTTTTAGCCTATTCCATATTTTAACGATTCGATATTTTGTCCGGACACGATTTGTTTTATAGAATTTCTCTAACTCTTGGGACAAAATGTCGTTTATTTTTAACATTACATCCCAACTTCTCAACTCACTCAAACATTTTCTTTCTCTACTTGCTACATTCCACCTTACTTTAAAAAGGAGTAAGAGTAGTTCCCAATACAAAAAGGAATACAAGAGTCTGATAACATGAGAAATGGTCTCTTTGGAATTTGATGAGGGTATTCAAGAGAAGACCGTTAAATTCTTCTAGAAGTCGACTTCAATTTAAAGTCCTCAATAAAATTTAATGAAAAATGGTAATTCAACAACAACAAATTCATTTTTATTTATGCAAACAGATAAAATTTAGTTAAAGACAAGCAAAATTTAAATGACAATTGTATAGTCAAAATTAGATTTGAAAATAAACCGTCAATTTTTCTTCATTTTTTAGAAATGTCGAAGATTTTTAGGTTAATTCGACTACATCTAATTAAAAACAAAAAAAATTGAAAAAAACTATGTTTTCGTCTCCATATTCGTTCATAAATCCAATTTTTTCTTTTATGCCAACACTTGCTTCTTTTATAATTCCATCGCTTCTGCAAAGAAATAAAAAGGCCAGGAATTTGTTGTTGAAGTTGATGACGAGGCTTGTGTAGTACTAAAAAGAAAAATAAGAAAACTAATGGAAAAATAGGAAAGAATGCCTAAAAGTCGGAAAGGATAAGTCGAAAAGGGGAAGCTTAACAAAATACCGATAGACCAAAAGTGAAAAAATGTCTAAAAAGGAATAATGGACAGTAACGAAAAACTGAAGAATGTTGTGACACAGGGAGTTTTTGTTGGCACACCCGATTTTGATAAATGAGGTGTTATTCGAAAGAGCTCGGCGAGCTGATTCGATAGCTCAGGGAAAGAGGCCGAACGGACGTTTAGGGGACCGAGTTCATTTTTCAAATTTCAGGGGGGCTATAGCCTTAGAAGCTCCCTGGCTACTCCCTTGACTTATTGGATGGCCCAAACCATTTATCTCAGATCGACTCATGTCAGCTCGACGAGCTTTTTCTAATGACTTGTAATTTGTCGAAATCGGATAGACAAACAAAAACCTCCCTACAAGTCACAATACCCAAGGGAAGCAACCGGACGGAGATTTAAACACCCATAACAGAGATTCTTTAAATTAGTAAGCTCCAAAAGGGACAAAACTTGAAAAATATAAACAATTATGGAAACCAAATAATCAACCCAATCAATTAATCTTCAAACCTAATTTTCTGAATTCTAACAAAAGATTGCAGTTCTTCGGTCATTTCTGCTGATTCTTATTCTTCCAAAGCATTCTCATCAAAAAGTCTTTCCGCAACAATTCACCGGCCTAAAAATAATCTTGAAACCATAATAAACAATTAAAAATAACCTCTTAAAAATTTTTAAGGCTTCTGGATACTCTCGCAAAGCTGAAAATTAAGTAATTAAAAATCATTTATACATAAAAACAACCTATCAAAAGATCAACCATTCAAAACAAACAAATCAACGCATCTAATCAATGGGTCATCTGCTGTACGTCTTCTCATTTGACAAGAACTTGGCCACCGTTTAATTGGCTTTAACATTGGGAAAGGATAAACTTATTTAGGGGAGGAACCTTGCGGACAAAACTTGCAAATTTAATAAAGTAAAAAAGCTAACCATGTAGACGAGAGCATTGGAGTTTAAACTTTTGCCCATATACCGCCGAAGCGATACATTGGGACTTTTGCCCATATACCGCCGAAGCGATACATTGGGACTTTTGCCCATATACCCCCGAAGCGATACATTGGGTTGCCCATATACCGCCGAAGCGATACATTGGGACTTTTGCCCATATACCCCCGAAGCGATACATTGGGTTGCCCATATACCGCCGAAGCGATACATTGGGACTTTTGCCCATATACCGCCGAAGCGATACATTGGGACTTTTGCCCATATACCGCCGAAGCGATACATTGGGACTTTTGCCCATATACCGCCGAAGCGATACATTGGGTTGCCCATATACCGCCGAAGCGATACATTGGGACTTTTGCCCATATACCGCCGAAGCGATACATTGGGACTTTTGTTGTTGCTGCTGCTGTTGAAGTTGTTTGTTGCTGCTGCTGTTGAAGTTGTTTGTTGCTGCTGCTGTTGAAGCACTGAAAAAATTGGATACATTTTTCAAAAATTGAAAAATTGCAAGTCTTGTCCGCAACTCAATACTTTCCTCCCCCCTAAAAAGGTTAATTCCCTAAGGAAAAGCCACGCATTCTGTTGTAGAACATCTTTGCTAAAGATGGACAACAGAGGACTCCAAACGAAGTATCAAAAATCGATTATTGATTTTGGGATGAAGTGTCATTTATTCTTAATGGTTTGCATTATGCCAAATAGCGCAGATTTTTGAATTCTGAAACTAATATTGTTAAATGGTAAAGATAGAACAGTTTTTGAACCGATTTATGGATTTGACTTGTTTTCGAAAATTGCTTAAAAAAAGTAAAAAATGAGCACACATTTATCATGAATAGTTTAAGTGTCTTTAAAATTAACGTACTAAAGAAAATTAAAAAAAAACAGAGACTTGAGAAAAGCTACAAAAATTAAAACAAGGTTGCCGGTTTTAGATTTTTTGTAACCAAAATATTTTTATCAATTTAAGGCAATCTTGTTTTAAAATACAGATATTCGAAATTAAACGTTGATTATTTAAAAATTAAATTTTTTTAAAGTACAAAAGAAATTCGAAAAATATTTTAAAAAAAATCAACGTCTTTTTGTAATGTAACAGACGTATAATTAAAAAATTTAAAAAAAAGATTGTCAAACAATAAAGCTAAAAATCAATTATTTAAAAAATTATTTAGTTAAAATTATATTTATTTTCTAGCTTGTTTTCGAACCTGTAATAATGGCGATTCATCGACGTCTTCTTCTTCAGGAAAACTTTGAATACGACTACGCCTTCGACTTTCTAATATATATTAATTTTCCAATTATAAAAATATTAATTAATTTGTGTTGTTAAGTGATTATTTTTGTGTTGTTTTTTTTTAATTATTAAATTTCTATGTTAGTTATAGCGTAAAAAGTATGTGCAAATATGTTTAAAGAATTTTAATTTTAGATTCTTTGGGTATTCAGATCCAGGCGGATCAGATCCAGGCGGATCTCCAATATTTATAAAATTATTTCAGAATCCCAAAAAGCTTCAATAAACAATTTGCACATTTAAATATTTTCCCTAAAAAATTCCTAATAATTTTTAAGCTTTTTTATTAATGACCATTTCCTATGGTCGTTGTTGTTGATGTCTGTGTTGGACCTGATGTTGAAGATGTTGGTCCTGCTTGTTGTGATGTCGTTTCGACATTACTCGGTGAAGACGCTGGTGCTTCTTCCGTTCCTTCCGAAGCTTGTTCAAGTTCTTTTTTCTCTTTCATTATTCGACTCATTCTTGTAGCAACAGCAGCAGCTACAGCGGCTCCACGACCTTCAAAAATAAAAAAATAAATTAATTAAGTAAAATTAAAAAAATTCTCATACCACTTCCATCTTCGCTAAGTGCCAAAACAATCTTTAAAAAAATTTTAAATTAAAAAAATTTTTAAAAATAAAAAATAAACCTTCCATCCATTCAATTGTCCATCAAGTAATTCATGTATTTTTATATTTAATAAATGTTCAAAATTTGGATGAAAACGAAAAACAGAACCATCAACACCAACAGTCATTTCTGGACTTTCACCTCTTTCATTCTTGACTGCAACTTTTCTGGATATTACACGTTTTAAAAGTGAAGCTATTCCACAAGCACACAAATGTGCAGCACGTGTGCTAACCATTGAACAAACATAAGCAATATTTGCACAATCACCAGTGGAAAGGTCGTCAACACCTTTAAATTTAATAATAAAATTTAACAAAACAAGGAAATATTGAATTTTCTTCCATTCAAAATTTCCTGTTCTTTTAATTAGGATCCAACAAAATAGCAAAGGGGAAAGGGAAATATATAGAAAGGAAAATGGCAAAGGACGAAGCAATATTTACCCTATGTGTTGAGTCCTTTTTTAAACCTTACCCGATTTAAATAAACTATTATATAAGCAAAAACCTTGATGGGAGGATTATTTTAGCTGATCGGATTACTTAATCAGATTGTAGTGTATTAATCCGGTTATTAAAAAAATCCGGCTAGCTAAAATAATCTTAACATACAGAGCTTTCAATTGTGTTTAAACCGGTTAAGAATAAAAAAAGTTATGACCCAAAATATGGCCTCAAGAGCTATTGGATCGACCTATACCCAAGGGAAAAAAGTCTTTTCAAAAAGACCAAAAATACCTTTATCCAACAGCAAATCATTAATTTTTCCGAATGGACTAGCATGATCCTTTACAAAACTAAAATAGAAAAATTAAAAATATTTTTAGAAAAAATTTAAAAAAAACCCTTCGATATCAGAAACCAATTTAGTTGGAATAAATCCAGGTTGAGAAATATCATTAATAGGAAAGGTGGTAATCAATCCTCTTCTTGTAAGGTCTTCAAGTACAAGTCGAACTAATTCTCCCTTAAAAATAAATTTTTTTCTAATTTTTTAAAATTTTAAGTACCAAATACATTCCAGAAATTGTTTTTTCAAATCGTTGTCTTCCTGGATTTATGCTGTTCTCATCCAGTTGTGTGTCATAAATTGTAAGGAAATCGGCGAGTGCCCCATCATCTCCAAATCCACCCCATTCAGTGTTTACACACATTTCGTTTGGAAGACCATCTGATTTTTTACAAAATTTATTTAAATTATTCTATAATTAAAAAAACCTTTTTCTGGAAAAACTTTTCCCTGCAATTTGTATATTTTGTCAAGTGATTCCATATAAGCAGCATTACAACCTTTAAATAAAAACAATAACAAAGAAATTTTTTGAAATTTTACCAGTCCCAACAATAACACCAATATAGCAATGCTCCTTAAAGAATGAACAGGCAAGCATTGTTCCTGTAAAAAAAAATAATTTTTATAAAAGTAAACAAATTTTAACCAGTTGTATCATTAAGAACAGCAACAACATCAACGTCAATATCACCTCGACGTTGACAAGCTTCACGAAGCATTTGAACAACGTCATTACCAACAACGCCGGAGGCCTAAAAATTGAAATTTTATTTATCAAAATATAAAAACAACAAACATTAAATCCCTTTGTCCAATTTACTAAAATAGCAGAAGTAAGCCCTTCTTGTTGACAGGGAAAAGAAAATGTAAAGCCAAGAGGCAATTTCGTTTCGAGTTTAGACAATTCAAAATCCACCACAAATTTGGCCAAACAAGCGGCAATGTGATCGAAAAGCTTAAAATTAATTAATGAAAATTCTATAGCAAAGTATAAAAGACTAGGAAAAACCAGCAAAACCTTAAAATCTAAAATTTCCCTCTCTTATTTGATACTTAATCCCACTCAATTTAAAGAGCATATTTAAGGCAAAATTTAAAAATAATTTCTTAAACTAACCTCAACACCAGTCCCTTTCATCACTCTATCAGGAATTCGATAAATTTTGCTTTGCATAGAAGAATGCTTTTCTCCTTTAAGTTCAATCAACAAAACTCGAAAGTTAGTACCACCCAAGTCGAGAGCCAAAAATTTTCCACGTTCTTGACCAACAGAAACGTCACGAATATAGGCCGGTAACATCTTTACTGTTGCCTGTCTTGCTAAATTTATACAAAATTCGAATTAATTAAAATACCACAAACCAGTTTCTGAACGTAACCCTTCATCATAATGAGCATCCATACGAGCCATAATCTCCAAAAGTTGTTCATGAGTTAGATCAAAGCATCTACAGGCTTCTTGTACCTAAAAAAGAAAAAATAACACTTCAAAAAATTTAAGAAAAAAACCGATTTTGCATGAGAAAATGCAGTATAATTTTCATTCTGGAGTGAAGCAATTCGCTCGACTGAATGAGTCGATGTAATTGACGTAGAGGATGATTGACGACCACGTTGACGAAAATTATCTCGTCTCGCCATTAGAATTGCTTGTTCTAAAAATAAATAATATAAAAATGGTAGCCTATCTGTGTATTTGTAGAAATCGAAATTTTTTGTCCAACGGAATATTGACCGTTGTTCTTTCGTTCATTTAGCAAAATGAGAGAAAAGGCGAGACAAAGCCGGCAATAAAATGTTTCTATGACCACAGCAGCCCAATGGTCAATCCTTCCTCTTTTAGCTTGAGAAAGTATCTAACAAACAACATAGGCGCACTAAAAGTCCAGTGGAAAATCCTACTAGAAAAAAACAACAGCCAAAAATAAAATGCAGCATAGCTATTTTTGATATACTCAAGGTCTATTAAAAATTTAAAAAAACCGTTAGATGGTTGTTCTGATGGCGAACGCTGTTCTGAAGGAGAACGCAGTTGAATGCTTACTGATGAGCTCTTGTCTAAAAATTTTTTTAAACAGTTTGAAAAACCGACTCAATCAGAAATGAAGTTGGTTATTTTATTCATTTTTCCAGTTGCCTAAGGCAATATAGGCGAAGAAAAAATTTAACGCTCATTATACCTTAGGCAACATTCAAGTTTTATTCTTCTTCATTTCAGAGTGTCGGAACATTATTAAAAAGAAAACCGTTTGTTGCTTGGTCAGAAGGCGGAGATGGCTGTTGAATCGAAGCCGAAGATTTACTGGATTTTTCGGATGGCGTGGATTGTTGAACTGAAGGTGATTTATTAGACTTATCAGAAGGTGTCGATTGTTGAGCAGGTGTTGTCGATTTATTAGATTTTTCTGAAGGCGTAGATTGCTTAACAGAAGGAGATGACTGAACAACGGGGGGTGAGCCCGAAGTTTGTGATGAGCTTTTCTTTTCCATTAATTAGTAGTAATTAGAAGTTAGTTTCTGAAAAAAAAATAAATTAAAATGAGTAAAGATTCTAAATTGAAATCAGGAAAATGTAACTACCACCACAAAACAAAAAACACCCCAAATTAGCAGCATTTTTTAATCTAGTAAATTTTTACATTTTGATATTAACATTTTAAAAAGTTATCATTTGACAAACGGCCAAGAAGACAGTTAGACAATAGATAATTGGGTAAAGGACGATTGGGTAGGGGTTGGGGTCGTTTTGGCGCCGGGCCGTTTTGGCGCGAGAACAAAAAAGTGGCACTTAGGCGTGACCTAAATTTATAAAATTTTTCTCAATTTTCACTAACATCCTTGACTACCTCCTCCAGAAATTTCAGAATTTTTCATCCAATATTTCCAAAGTTATAGTCGACAGACCTCGAAAAATTAGGCATTTTGCAGAAAATCAACATTTTTGGCCACAATTTCCGAAATTCTTGCTCAAAAATTCTGAAATTTTTGGAGAACATAGATAAAGGTACGAGAGTTATTATTGCAAAATTTTATCATTTTTGATAATGAACTCGCTATCTTATAAGCTCGCGCCAAAACGTCCCCGCGCCAAAACGGCCCAGTCCCTTGGGTAGTGATTTGTAGTAGATATTTATGATAAAAATTAATTTATTACCCAATTGTCCACTGCCTACTTGTCCTATAGCCAAATAGTATGCTGTCCAATTGTCGTTCCACGTTTGACAGCAAATCGGGGACACTTCAGTCCTTAACACATCAATCCAAACGTTAGAGTATAGGACGAGCTAGACGCGTGCGTCAACAAGGCGAACCTACGTGGCGTAGTCGTTTACTAAAAATTTCTTGTTTATGACGTTTCTATGTCATACATCTTCGGCGTTTTCATTTTGCCGGTTAAATTCTTTACCCTCTTTTTCGTGTTCCCACATATTCATTTTTGCGTTTCTAGTAAAAAGAATGGCACGTTTCAGCTGCGTGTTTTTCTAAGAGAATAAAAATCGATTTTTCTTTTATTTTTTAGTGATTCTCGCCTAAACATCAACTTCAATTTCTCATAATTCAATAAATTTAAAAACTACAAAAAATGGCTGGGTTTTTGATGAAACAGATGGTTGGGAATAAACTTGATGAAGTTACAGGCGGTTTGAATCGGTTAGGTGGTGATGATGAGAACAAAACTTTGGAAGGAGATGATCCAGAAGTATTTTAAATTACTTTCTTTTTTAATAAAATAATTATTAAAGGTAATCGCAGCCAGACAAGAGATGGAAGAACGCCGCAAAGAGAAACACCGTAAAATGGAATTGGAACGAGAAAAAATGCGTGACCAAATACGAAACAAGTACAGTCTCCACAAAAAGGTTAGGAAATCGTGTGTTCTGAACCCCATATTAAAATTTGAAGGACGACGCTTTTGGCGGAGGTTCTTCGCTTGGAATTGATGGTCGAGTTGGACCAGCACACAAAACACCTGACCAATTAGCGGCGGAAATGGCGGCAGAAGAGGATTCAATAATAGGACAACTTGGATTGACTGAACATGTTGAGGTTTTTTAAAGTTAACTTTACTAAATTTACTTTCAAATAATTTTTAGAAGGCAAAAACAGCAGTAAACACTGCATTCGACACCTTCAAAGGATTTTTCGGGAAGTAAAAAAGCAATACACAAATTGGTATATCTGTAAAGACTAAACAACGATTCTCATATTTTTTGGCTCTCGACCAGTTTATGCGTTCATTCAGCCTTTATACGTCCACGCGAATTTCTATACGTCCATTTAAAATTTTATGCGTTCAATTAAATTCTCATGCATATTAAGGTTGATTAATCCCAATATTTATTGGACGTATAAACTGGACAAGAGCCTTTTTTTAAACTCCAGTCAGTAGATACCTTTCTCTAAATTCATTCCACTTTTTGATTATAAATACAAAAATTCTCTTTTAAGATAACATATAGCCATTATTTTTAATTCAAAAAATAAATATTTACCATATGTTTAGGTTAACTATTTAAATAAAAAAATATTTAAAATTGTACATTCAAAAGTAGGCACAATGTAAACAAAAGATAAATTTAAATATATTAAGACAAGAATTTCGGAAAAAGAAAAATAAAACAAACCGATAAACTATAATATTATGTACTATAAAACGTTAAAATGAAAGAGGCTCGAATATATAAATATGGGAAAAACAATAGAGAAATGCAATCGTTAGTGTAGGACACTTATGTATCCAAAAAATGTTGCGGCCAATTTAGACCCGATTACAACAATAAACAGAGGAATTTATGTTAGGTGTTATAGAAATCAGAGGTGTGCCGATTCACCTTCCACCAAATTTCGTCCTTTTAAAATCTGTTTTGGCACACCTCTGATACATAAAAATGAAACAAAAAACTCACAAAATTTCATTTTTTGACCCACCTGTTTTTAGTTGGAAGGGGTCATTCCTCCGCGTCTTTTCTTCTTTCGTCTTCATCATCATCCCCGTCAATAGATGACTTTGTACAAGATTCATTATCATCAATTAAAAGAGCTGTTGTATCAAGTTTTGAAGAACCTCCTGATCTGCGATGCATTACAAGAAGTTTTCGACGATATTGTGGTAATGAAAAATTGAGAATGAGTGCAAAAACAACTAAAAGTGCACCACAAAGGAATGGTGGACCTGGAACAGGGCCCTGAAAAATATGCAAAAAAATTAATTTAAAAAAATTTTTTATACCCCAGTTCTAAGTGTTATTCTATCCAAAGAATTATTTTGTGCTGTTGAGGCACTTATTGGTTTATTGTTATCAGGAATTAAAGGTGATTGAAATCGAATATTTGGTACTGGAAATTGAGGACCAACACCAATATGTCCAGCACTTTCATCATCTGACGTCAAATCCATTCCAAACGCATAAAAAATAAGGCCAAATACTGCTGGGCCCAATCCTTGACAAAGACCGCGGATACCTGAAAAAATGTTAGTCCATATTACCAGACTTAAAATTAAAAAAAACCGCTAAGAATTCCTTGAACAGTCCCCTGCAATTCTTTATTTGTCTGTAACGAAACAAAAGCAGAAATTGCTGGATAAGTCATTTGAGAAAATGCAGCAAATAATCCAGCTCCCCACATTCTTTTTAAAATAAAAATGAGAAAAAAATATTAAATTTTTCTTACATCCAATGTGCAGAACCAACCCCATACCAAACTAACTGGACAAATTGAAAAATTAATCCAAGTGTTATAGCCGACTGAGAAATTATTTTTTAAATTGAAAAGGAAAATTTTAAACCTTAGGACCAGCTTTTTGAGTAATTAATAAGAGAATTCCTGTTTGACTAAGGACAGAAAGAACACCAACAAATGCAATAAAAAGTGCTACAGATTCAGCAGAAAAACCAACAACCTTTAAAAAATTTTTAAAATATTATATAAAAAAATATTTTAAACCAGTCTCAAGTAAACAAAAAAGCATGAAAATTGTCCAGCTTCAGGTAAGTATGACAAAAAAGTAATTGCAGATAATCTCAAAATTGTTTGTTCATCGCGAAGAAAACGTAAAATAATAAAAGGATTTGCAGAGAATCCATTACTATTAATTCCTTCAATTACAGTTTGTGGCTGTTTTCTAGATTCTGGGACACAGCAAAGAATAAATAAAAGATCTAAAATTGCAATTAATGTAGCTAGAAGAACAACAACATCATCAGAGTATATTCGACTTAAATAAGCGCCCAAAGCCTTTGAAAAATTAAAAAACAATTAGAAAACTTTTTATTGGTAATCTTCTAGTTTACTGACCCTAGAAAAAATGAGCAGGAAGTACCAATAAGTAACGAGTGTGTTGAGTTCCAAGAATCTAATTTTGCATCCGATTTGACCAGTCAAATTCGAGTCCGGTATCGAAGTAAATGAAGTTTGAGCTCATATTCGAACTCATTTCAGCACTCGATTACATGCTGGCAAACTCGAAATAATCGACCAAGCATTTCTTCCTCATTTTTTCATAGCGATCAGTAAACAAGAAGATTACCCTTTTTTAAAAATTTACTGGTGATGTGACAAGAGAAGCAGCAAAAGTTGCAGAAACTAAACCACAAGCAGTTGTTCTTTCATTAGGTTCAGTTATATCAGCTACATAAGCAAGCACAACACTAAAAGTTACAGAGAAGAGGCCACTAAATGTGAAGAGAGTAAAATACCACCTTTAATTTTGAAAGATGTTTTTTTAAATAAAAATTAATAAAAAAATACCATGGCGAGATTTTAAGGCAGGGAATTGGCATACACGTAAAAAACACTGTAAGCAACAAAAAAGGTTTTCTACCACAAACATCAGAAAGGGCGCCAACCAAAGGTGAAGAAATAAAAGAGAGAATGCCCTGAAAAAATTTTACTAGGGTTGCACCTCGACCCTGGGCAATTTTTGACTAAAAACCGATCCCGAACTTGTAGACTCCGAAGGGCCGGGGTGCAATCCTAATTTTACTTCAAAAAATTAAAAAACCTTTAAACCCATAATAAGCCCATTCATAAGAAATTTGTTTGAAGGAAATGTTTCAGCAAGAACCTTTAAAAAACAAAAAAATAATTTTCAAAAATTAATTTAAAATTATACACTAATCACAGGCACAGTCAAAAGACCCCAAGAAAAATATTCCAAAAATATTATAAAAAGTGCATGAACAAGTCCAGCTTCTGAAGGCCGCTTTGCACTCATTGAGCTTAATGTTGGAGTTGAAGAACGAAAACGTCGTTTACAACAAATTGCAGAAGAAATTGAACGTGTACGTCTACCCATACTTTAAAAATTAGAAAAATTAAATTGTCATATAATTAAATTGCCTATTTTGGCAGGTATTAATTTAGAGGGTCAGGAATCACAAAAGGATGCCGGGTTTTGACTCTAGCTCTCGAAAGTACGAGAAAGAAATGTTCCTGTCCCATACATCCATACATTTATTTGCTAATAAAGGGACGAGCCGGACCTATCG